GCAGTGGAGAGAGAGAGAGAGAGAGAGGAGTAGCGCGAGAACTTCCGGGCAAAACAAAATGGCGACCCGTGTAGTTCGCTCGATTCGAAAAGTCAAATAGCCGTAGCGTCTTTGTAGACGACCAAATTAATTTACTTCTGTGTTTCAACATCATTTGTAAACTTTGTTTTGGTCAATTTGATCGTCCACACCGATAGACAGTCTTCAGAAAGAGAGAGAGAGGGGGGAGGAGTAGATCTTGCGAGAACTTCTGGGCAAAACAAAATGGCGACCCCCGTAGTTCGGCTCGATTCGAAAAGTGAAATCTTACTAGACGACCAAATTAGCTTACTTTTGTGCTATAACGTCATTTTTTCTTTGCTCTTGTCAATTTGATCTTCCACACCGATAGACAGTATATCCGAAATTAGGTAAAACAAGTTTTGTTTCACACCGGGTGAGAATAGCCATCCTAGCAAGTCTCACCCGGGGTGAGAGGTCGATCATATTTTTATTCTCACCCCGGATGAGGATAGCCACTTCCTTCTTGTTAAACATCTTAAGATTTGACTGCTTTTTTTTAGGACGTTGTCTTATTCCGATCAATATTGGGTAGATCTAAAATCTACATCTAGATTTAGATCTAGATTAGATCCAACTATTGTTTCTGACATTGTTTGCACAAAAGTAGACTAGACGTGGTCTTGTTCATCTCAGTCATAATCATTTGAGTTTGAGCAAGTAAGTCAAAAGACGCTTGGACTTGGATAACAATAACAAGACGGTGCAACTCGGTATAAGCAGTATTTCCTGTCCGCAGTGTCGTCATACAATAGATCTACCTAAAAATATTAACTTTAACTTTAAGTTAGGCCCAGAGAACGTATTATATCTAAGCTGTCTACGTTCTCTAAGTCTAATGTTCAGTGCTTCCAAGCGTGGCATCGAATCCCGGTCCCGGAAGGTTTTTTTTTCTTCTCCTGAGCCTAAAATAAAAAAAAAATAATAATTAGGCTCACAGATCAAGGAAAGCCACTATTATGAACTTTAACCAGGCCTAAATTGGTAAAAGGAAAAGTATAGGCTATACCAAGGCCTACTTTTTACAGAGCTCCTCTTGGGGACAAAACCAGAACTGAGAATGTGCATGCTTCATCACAACATAAAAATCTAAAAGCAACAAGTTATAATTATGGGGAAAATTTGTTGGTCAGTCGAGAAGAGGACAAAAAAAATAAACTTCCAGGACCAGGATCGAACCTACGCTCATAAAATAATGGTTTGGCTTCAAAGCAAACGCGCACGCTGTCCCTTTGGCAATCAGAAGTTCCGACAACGAAAGGTAGATTAAGCTTTATATAACACACAGCGTTTTAATTAGCACTGGCGCTAATCGAAACGCAGCGTTTTATTTAGCACTGGTGCTAATCGCAACGCGGCGTTGCAAATAGGCACTTCGTAGATCTAATGTGGAAAATATATAGAAAAATCAAACTTTGAAAAAAGCCAAAATAATGAATAAATGGTAGCATTAATTGCAACAGAGTGACGCTGTGACAACTGACGCAGTGTTAATTGCGACAGAGTGACTCTGTGACAATTAATGCGGCGTTAATTGCGACAGAGTGAGTCTGACTTAAAAGAAGTTAAAAAGAAAAAAGAAAAACAAACGCACACACACAAATGCACACACACGCACTCACACACCCCCTCAAACACGCACATACGCACACATACTAATACACTTACATACACATACACACACAGACACACACTCTAACACACACGAATGCACACCGCAAAGTGGATACGGTAGATCTAATCTAGATGATGTAGTTTCTAATCATCAACGGAAAAGAGCTCCGTATTCACTCTGCTGCAATTAACGCCGCGTTAGCTGTCCCAACATCACTCTGTCGCAATGAACACTACCTAAGTAAATACTCAGTGAGTGTGAATCAGCCAGCTTTTTTTATTCAACTTCCGTTTTTGTTTCCGACTGTGTTACACAGGGCTCCCCTTTTCAGGCCAACTTAAGAGGTTCCTTCACCCTTTGGTTTACTATTTTAAGGGGTATTTAAACCCTTGTTTTAGAAACTTAGAGGGTAAAAGTCAATATCTCATAATTTTATAGTAAGATTTTTTGCTTGCATACATTTAACTCACACCTACATTCACACAGACACACATAGAGTGACCATTACTATGATTGAATGCAAACGATTTTGATTAATTTAAAAAATAAATGAGTAATATTGACTAGATTTAGAGTTGTGTCCATTTGGAGGGGGAAGAGCGGTGGTGGTTGAGCAGTTGGGTCTATCAAAAATAAAATAAAGTTAACAAACTGAAAGGGGTCAACTCCGACTATAATACTCCAAGAAAAATAGACTTGCCACTCTATGAAATCTAAAAGTCAGGATCTCAGTGGGGAAAAAAATTGGGGCTTGGTGAAAAAAATCGATATCAACGACAAATCACCTAGGTCACTGCCAAGCTGACTTTAAAAAATTCAAGGGGAGTCCATTTTTATATTAATGTATATTCCCTCTGAGCGTGTGTATGTGTGTGTGTATGCATGCGCATGTGTGTGTGTGTGTGTTTGTGTGTGTGTGTATGTGTGTGTGTATGTGTGTGTGAGAGAGCGCGTGCGTGCCTGTGTGTGTTTTATCAATTTTTTAAAATCCTGAAGTATCATGTCAAGGTCTTCTGGTTCAAGTGTTTTACACTCACTTTTGTACCTTTTTAAAGTAATACAACTCTGGTTTTCTTTAAAAAGCTTTAGGTGACAACAGGACAATGTTTTTCATGAGGTGGTCATATCTAGGTGAAGTTTTACTGGGAGGACCTCTTCTCTTCTTGTCACAATACAATCTATAATTGGTCGCTTTTAAGGACAACCCAGATTTCGGGGGTTTCCAGAAATCTTGACCTACACCAAAAGTAGGCACTTCCCTACCTATAGAAGAAGTTTGGCTTCATTGGTGTGTAGTTTTGTTTGGTTATAGAGGAAAGTCCCCTTGTCTTTGAAAGAAAGTGAAGAAGGGTCCAAAAACTTTACCTTCGATTTTCTCAAAACAGCATTTTTTGGGATAGCCCCCTTGTGCTTAGAAGCGACCAACTGTGATAATGAACAAGAACATTATGGACTGCTGTCTTGTTACACCCTATTTGGGATGAAATCTCATTCTGTGAAAAGCATGCACTGTGAAGAGCCAGTGGCTCTTTGAACGTCAGAAAGGGAGGATTTTTGCTCCATTTTTGGTGTATTTATTGGTCAATAAAGAATACAGTCGAACCTGCCCTGACGGTCACCTCTATAAGATGGCCACCTGTACCAACGGACACTTTCCATTCCCCCCCTTGCGTTTTTTCTATATAATTTAACTGTGTAAAACGGGCACCTGTTCAACGCGGCCGCGGCCACCATATTTCCACACACAACCCCTATCACACAAAGCAATAACACCTGTCTTAGACGGCCACCTTAGTGACTCCTTTACGTTTTGTCATAAATCAAGCCTTGGCCCCTGGCGTGCGTGAGCCGTCATAATCTAAAAACCTGTTGTTAAGTTTTAAGTCCCTCCAACTGATCCTGTTGCGTAGGCCCCTCTCGCTGTTGACCAATAGGTAACAAAATTAATTTTCAGCTGCTGGGGAGGGAAGCGTGTGATCCCTCATAACCCATAAGCCCCGCCCAGAACCCATACACAAATCGTAAGTGGTCACTGTTTACCCCGTCTGTAACAAAGTAACAATGGACGTCAACATAAACTTGTGACAGCAGCGTCGCTCGTTTTCCGAGTGGTAGCGAGACGTGTGTTTGTTTTACCATAGCACTTGGTCCCTCTTGTCTGACACATTTCGTTTTATTGTCACCCGTGCACAAAATCAGCAACAAAAGAAACAACAACAACAAAATAACAACAGCAACAATGCAACTACCTTCGGTTGGGACCTCAGAAGGTGGAAGGGTTTATTTTCTCAGAAAGGAATGGTTAGTTTTCTTCATCTTGATCAGTCCTGCCTAAGACGGCCACCTGTCTTATACGACCACTTTTGTCCTTGACAATGGGTGACTGTCTTACACAGGTTCAACTGTACTTTCAAACAGGCTCATAGCCTTCAACTGAATACTCTGGGAACATTTATTCAAGGGAATGATGCAGTAGACCAGAAATGGTGAAAATGATTTCAAAATAAAAAAGAAAATAATTCAATATTTGCTTTAAACAGAGAAATGACAGGTTATTGTAAGGAGGTCTTAAACTTTTGTCCAAGACTGTAAGTGTTTATTACCTCATGATGCACTACTTTAAAGAAATGGGGGGGATCCCTAAATAATCCCCCTCAACTCCCTGGCAACAAATCATCAGGAAGTGCCAAACGGGGAGATTACAGTCCTGCCAAGTACTCCGATGAAATCGGAGCTCTCCCAATTTTTTTTTACCCGTTGAAGAACCTAATAGAATTCGCATATAATCCAATTTTTTCTTGAATTCCATTTCGATGGTTTGTATGTTTCTTATTGTAAATAATGTGGAAAAGCACATTTTCAGTTGCGTTTGTTTGCAGTATTTGTGCGACTTTATTTATCATGAACGACATGAAAATCCACTTGTTTATTTGTGTTTTATTTTCTGTTTGCATGTATTTTATGATACACATTTATTTGCCATGATCAGTTTGTAATGTAATTTTTAATCTACTGGGAATCTGGAGATTAGCTGGGGGGTTTTTTCTCCTCTAAACTCCAATTTTTAGGGAGGATGTTGAGGAAAGCTTCTATTTATTATTTTTGGTCATGGGGTGTTTGACAGCCAGTTAGTTGGTGACAGTGTGAGTTAAAAATGACAAATAATATGTTTAAATAGGTAATACATATGTACATGACTTCATTATTTCGGCCAGTGCTAAAATGTGATTTGAAAGCAAAAAGAAAACAATGTTGATACTTTCCTCACCATGACTCTCTGATTTGTTGGAAAATAATTCTTACTACTTCCATGTTTCTTTCACAGACTCTCTGGAACTTAATTTTATTTTGACTGCAGACTAGAATGAGACCAGATGAACACAAAAAAAAGAAAAATGCTGCTTACAAGAAAAAGCATGGTGTTTCCAAAGACAAGGATAAAGAATTGAAAGATGGTGTTGATGCCAGCTCCAGCAAAGACAGGAAGACTGCAACTGGAGAAAAACATCGTGGTGCTCAGCAGAAGGGAAAGAAAGCTAATGGTGATGGAGCTTTAACAACACCTTCTAACAGCTCTTTTGCTGGATGCAGCACTGCGTTAGTTGACAGTGATTGCAGTGAATCGAGCTCTTCTGATTCTGAGGTGAGTTGTTTCCATATGTCTTTGTGTTGAAGATTATTACGGACGGTAGAAACTTTGATATAAATACCAAATCGCCAGCAAGCCTCGAGAGCCTACTACACCAAGCACTCAGGCTAAAAAGCAAGAAAAAGGCCATGCAAAAGGTCGATTGATGGTGTCAAGGAAACCCTGAAAAAAAAAAAAAATCTCAACTGAAAGAGCTGGCCTACCATAGAAAACTGCATCTCCCTTCAATGCTTAAAAGCAACAGAGGATAAAAAAGTAAAAGTATAGTAAAGTAACCAAATCGCCTGTGGAGGCAACTCCATTTTGATAAATAAGCAAACACTACAGCTTCCACCACCTTTCATCATGTTAAGCAATTTTAATACCCATAGCCTTCTTTGGGGAAATGAACCAAGTGACACTAAAAGATAAAATCACCATAGATTTCATATAAAAAAACCAATACTAATATTTTTAACGACAATTCCCCAACATTTCAAAATTCAAATAATTAAACTTTTCATCCATAGACTTGACTCTGCGTGATACAGATCTAATTCCAGACTTTCAGTAGTCTGTCTTTGACAACCCACAACCTAATTTCAGACATCCCACACCGAACCCCTATCCCAGACAGAGCTGTGCCCATTTGACTTTGCTATTCGACATTCATGATTTTTGTACTATTCACAGGTATTCGAAGCGTGGCAGAGCAATTTTTCTCAAATGTAGTAAAATCATTGAAATGAATATACAAAAATACTCTTTATTTGATAGTTATGAGACAGAGTGATTAGAGGAGCCAACAAGAGATATAAAATATTCCTCTAGAGACCTCTAGAATATATTCTATACACTGTATATTCACTTGTCACACCATAGCTCAAGCAAGGGCAGTTGACTCTTGAAGCGCAGTGAATGTTTTTTTTCTCATGAAGTTAGCTGTCGCAATAAGTTCCTCTTCCCCTAGGCTGTTCGAAATTCGAAGCGCTATGAACGGTAACGTCATGTCATCACACTGCACTGTCTGCAACAACAACACATATGCGCTCTGTGACTGGCGCTGTGAAAGTGATGTACTTATAATATAGAAGAAAAACAATTCGACGCCGCTTCGAATAGTGGACGTTAGGTCTGGGCTTATCGTATATAGGCCTAAGAAAAAAAAAATTTGATGGCACTTCGAATAGCGAAAGTTAGATCTGGGCTTGTTGTATTAAGAAACAACCAATCAACGGCGATGTGAATAGCAGAAGTTAGGTCTGGGCTTATCGTAATATAAGAAAAAACAATTCAACGGCGCTTCGAATAGCAGAAGTTAGATCTGGGCACTTTATGTGAAAGAAAAAGGAAAGAACATTACAGTGCTCATAAATTGTTAGGCATCAGATAAAACTAATTTTGACTCTCTTTTGCTCTGTGTTCTTGTGTGAAGGCCCAGGCTATCTTAAGTAAAGAACCTTTACCTAGGCTTTTTTTCAGATAAAAAGACAACCTAGCCCTGTAGGTTCACCATTTAGGTATGGCACGGGTCTGCAAAACACGATGTTAGGGTCAAGAATTCGATTTTTAACTTTGTCCCTTTTTTTAAAAACTTGAATATCTAAAGAATCGATTTCGCTTGATGTTTCATTCTAAAAAAGACTAGAATTCACAGAGGCGTTTTCCGGGGAGCACACTTCTCAAAAGTTCGCTCGTTTTCTTCAAATTAGCCCATAATTGGAAAGTGACAACAACCACATGTGTCTCCGTGTCTCCCTAACATGTTTAGTATCGTTGTGCTCCCAAGCTTTTCTTCTCTCAAGACAATGAACGATTGAGACAATCAAGATTTATGTATTTCTGGCAGTTGAGCTCATATATACGCAAGATATAGGGCCCCTCATTTTGTAAACTTTGGGTTGCTACAAATAATAATAACGTCAACATTCAGTTGTACAATGCCGCACGGTATTTGGTCTCCAACAGTACTTTACGACCACCATCGTTTCTTCTTTCGACTAGAGAGCCGATTTGATTACTGCCACTGATGAAACTGTCTGATTCGCTTTTGTATTTGACGTGACATAATCATGTTTCTGATCCCTCTTTTTGTTTAAAGTAGTCTACAGAGCAGGTACATCTAAGCTTAGTTTCCCAATTTTTTTTGAATGTGCATGTATTGTATGATCTCAGAAGTGGTTTTTACTCTCATAGTCGTATTTCATTTCACATTTATTTCCAATGTTTGTCCTTATAACATTATATATATATAACATATATATCTCTCTCTCTCTCTCTCTCTCTCTCTCTCTCTCTCTCTCTCTCTCTCTCTCTCTCTCTCTCTCTCTCTCTCTCTCTCACTCTCTCTCTCTCTCTCTCTCTCTCTCTCTCTCTCTCTCTCTCTCTCTCTCTCTCTCTCTCTCTCTCTCTCTCTCTCTCTCTCTCTCTCTCTCTCTCTCTCTCTCTCTCTTCACACACACACACAGACACACACACACACACACACAGACACACACACACACACTATTTCTTCAGTCTCACAGTCTGGCATATACATGCATATAACAGTTCATCATTATGACAGGTATGCATTTGTGAATAAAAATCGCTTCAGCTGTTTTTTGAAAAAGTAAATTGTTGGGTCAGATCTTACATCTTACTTTATACGTGAGTTCGTTCCATACCTGGTGACCAAAGAACAAAAAGGAACGCTTGCCGTATGTTTTGTAATTTTGTTTTGGAGTTTTAAGAATTAGATTATCAGAAGCGGATTTTACGGCTCTTGGTGGATGATATAATTCCTGGAATTTTTAAAGATGAAAAGGTGCAGTATCATTTGTACTTTTAAAACAGAAAACTGCAGTTTTGTATTTGATCCTTTCTTTTATTGGCAGCCGGTGTAGTTCTTTCAAAATTGGTGTTACATGAGCTGATTTGTTTTGGTTCATTATCATTATTTTTACTATACAAAAGTCACCCCTAAGATCCCGCTCTGATCACTCTGAAGGTCTACATTCGGCTCAGATCCCGCATTTCAGATAATAATTTATGGAACAAACGATCAGGTGGGCACATGCGATCAACCAAGAGTGAAAAGTTGAGATCATTAAACTGCCCGTCGCGTCAAAGATCAACCACTCTCGTGAATGTGATCACACAAGCGTTGTAAAGCTCGATGAAATGGTACAATGTTTGCCCTGACGGGATCACACCGAGGTGTGAACTAACCAACGCATTTTGTTTTCCCCACACATCGCACTCGCGTCTGAGCTCTCCTCCTAACTTTGCTCCAGGCGGGATCACATTGAACTGTGTACATTTTGTACTCTTACCTGTCCATTGCAGCAATTGTCTCTGTTCCAAATTTGCGAGACATACTGAATTTTAATTGGTGTGGTCAAAACATAATGGTGCGTAGCGACAAAGGCGGGAGCGGGAACTCGGTCAGAGATGGACAGCTATCAATTTTGGAGGGGAGGGGCAACTGGATAATCGTAGTTCGTGAGACTCACGAAAGGATAATAAGTGAAAATGGCATGCCTCGTTTAAAAAATCTTATTGTCAAAAATCAACAATAGGTTGGACTGTAGTCTGCCATCCGACAACGCTATCCTTAGAAAGAAAGTAGACTTCAAAAGGCCGGACATGTGTATCTGTGTCTAACAAAAGGAAAGTGGCATCTTATACTTATATTAAGATTTGCTCTCCTGTCTGTAAAATAATCTGTTACTAGGCAGGACAACTTTTTTTTTCTTATTTTGTGGGGATTTTGAATCAGTTTGTGAACAAGGAATGGCAAAAGCCTTCTGAATCAGGTGTTACTCAGAATCTTGATATTATCAGTTGATTTAGGTGACACTGTTTTTACTTTTGCTTTAAATTAAATGCATGTCTGTTATACTTTGTTTCTGTCCCACTTGTTGACTTAGCATTTGTTTCATCACGTTTTGTTGTCCTTTATAAATGAGTTTTTCCCCCTTTCTTTTCAGGTTGAAAGGAAACATGTGCCAGCAAAGAAAAAAACATTTCAACGCAGACAGATTGTGAGTAACTGGCAGAAGTATGAGCTGGGACCTGAAATGGATGATGATGTCAGCAAAGGAGGGAAAGATTATAAGGAGCTACTAAGTATGGCAGGTATGTACGCATGCAAGCTCGCATACATGCTGATGCAGGCACACTTAAACACACACACACAAAACACACAGACAGTCACAGATACACACGAGCACACACACACACACACACACACACACACACACACACACACACACACACACGCACACAGACCTTCACAAGCATGGTTTAAGGGTGACCATTGTCCAGTACTCAGACACATCCTGTCCACTGTGCTGGGATTTCTATCACAGCTATATGTCACCACATCTCCGACCCTGAATAAAAAATAATAGAAATTTTTAAAAACCGTAAATAAACAAAATCAATAAATATACCAATGAATACATGCGGAAATAGATTTTTTAAAACACAAGCAAGACTGTCCATATGAAAGTTAAAAGTACATAAACATTGACATTAAAATTGTAAACTTAATAGTAGAAATTAATTGTACGCCTCCATCAGCACATTTTTAAAATTTAAAACGTCGGCTGGCTATTGCAATGTACTACGCCTAAAAATCTCTCCTCCTTTTCTCTCTCTCTCTCTCTCTCTCTCTCTCTCTCTCTCTCTCTCTCTCTCTCTCTCTCTCTCTCTCTCTCTCTCTCTCTCCGTCAGTCCCATTTTGCAACCTTCAGTCTATCGTATCCTGCAGGTTAGAGGATAGCAATTTTATTTTTGAATTGTTTGTTTTATTGTGTAATGCGCTTATTTGT